TGCCAGGGGTGCTAGGTGGTGGGCTGCCAAGGGTGCTGTGCCAGGGGCACTGGGTGATGGACTGCTGCGGGTGCTGTGCCAGGGGTGCTAGGTGGGTGCTGTGCCCCTGCACAGCTGCACAGCGGGGTTTTGTAAGGCACCCTGAGAAGCCCCTGCCTGTGGCCCACACATGACTCTCACCGGCATGCTCAGCCTGACTTCCAGTGGCCATCCTGCTCCTGCCTGCAGAGCAGTGCCAAGCCTGTGCTATGCACACCTGAGAACAGGTGCTCAAACGTCCCGCAGTGTGAAGCCACATGAGGACTAATGCCGTGCTGCCTGCAGGAAGCAGCCAGCAGCCACGCTGCACACATAGCGCAGCACTCCAGGGCGGACAGAACCCTGAAATTGGGCCCTTGAGGAGGGCCGTCCTAGCTGGTTCCACAGAAAGGCGCTTCTGGGGCTGCTCTCCCTGCACCGCCTTGCTGCTGGAGGCAGGAAGCCAGGTCCTGGGTTCAGAGAAGAGAGTAAGCAAGAGGCATGATGTGAAGAAAGCTTCCTCCAGGTCCAGGAGGGCCACAGACGGTGGGCCTTGCATGTGTGAGGGCCGCAGGGACAAGCTGGGAGCTTGGAGTGCTTTGCATGCTTGTCACAACTATGGAAACAGAGGGGTGAGCTGAGGAATCGGGACTGGGAGGAAGGGGAGGACCCTGCTCCCCTGCTTGGCAGGACAGCGTGGAGCGTAGCCGGAAGTCGGGAGTGAGAGAAGAGGAGTGCAGGAAGCTGAGCCATGTGGGCTGCAGTCAGGGCTTCAGCAAAACTGAGTAAGATGAGAGCCACCTTGGCTTTGTCTAGAAGCCACTAGGTCAGGAGTAGCCTTGCCAAACCCATTTCCAAAGCGGCCAAGAGGCCTGGGTAGGAGGAAGTGGCTCAAGGTCACAACATTGTCGTGGAGAACTCAGCTCTGACGGGAAAGACTGGCAGGTGGTGAAAATGCTGAATGACAACAGAGTCAGCTGTGCTTTGTTGGCCACTGGGGGTATGATGGAGAGTCCTTTAAAAGGGTGAGTTGACCCACAGAGCCCTTGAGATGCAGGTTCCCTCCCATGCTGCCGCCCAGCAGGCCCAAAGCCCATGGCTCAGGAGAGACAGGGCTGGACAGCACGAAGCACCTGGGGCCCAGACCCCACATCCTGAGGTGGTCACATGCTGCTTGTTCTGCTGTAAGAAGCAACCACTAAGGCCTACATCCCAGCGTGTGGTGAGGGTTGGTAGGGCCGGGAGTGTGCACGTGGCCAGTGGTGACCTGAGGAGCCATCCCCTCCGCCATCTGCACAGGGCACCAAGCAATCGCCGCTGCCTTCTTCACCACTTTTGCTCATGTGACTTTTGTCTCTTTAGGAATCTACTGGCGGGCCCTGTTAGTCCGATGCTCCCTTGCTTGAAGAAGAGGCCGAGGCCACATCTGGAAATGACCACGGAGGTCTAGCAGGCACCATGGGCACCACCCGGGCCGCCTCCCAGGGGCACAGAGACAGTTTCCTGAAGATGCTGACGAGACTGCAGGTTCTCACCTTGGCTTTGTTTTCAAAGGGATTTTTACTCTGTTTAGGGGACCATAACTTCCAGAGGAAGGAGATTAAAATAGAAGGAGACCTTGTTCTGGGGGGCCTGTTCCCTATTAATGAGAAAGGAACTGGGACGGAGGAGTGTGGGCGAATCAACGAGGACCGAGGCATCCAGCGCCTGGAGGCCATGCTGTTTGCCATCGATGAGATCAACAAGGACAGCTACCTGCTGCCTGGGGTGAAGCTGGGCGTGCACATTCTGGACACATGCTCGAGGGACACCTACGCCCTGGAGCAGTCACTGGAGTTTGTCAGGGCGTCTCTGACCAAGGTGGACGAGGCTGAGTACATGTGTCCTGACGGCTCCTACGCCATCCAGGAAAACCTCCCTCTGCTCATTGCGGGCGTCATTGGCGGCTCCTACAGCAGCGTCTCCATCCAGGTAAGCATCACAGCTGCCGAGCAGGGGCACCAACCTGGCCTGTTGACTGCAGGGACAAGGGCAGAGGAAGCAGGTGAAGTTAACAATGCGAGACTTAGGGGATGGGGAGATGGCTCAGTGGAATAAGTGCTTCTCTGGCAAGCGCAAGGGCCTAAGTTCAATTCCCGGTTCTGCCAAAAAAAAAAAAAAAAGGTTAATAATGCGAGTCTTAGTCCTTCTGGGCATTTGAGGAGGCAGGGCTTTAGACAGAACCTCTTTCTACCAGTGGAAGTTGTCAAAGCTGTCGGACAGCTACTGCATTGATACAAACTGTCCCCACATCCAGTGGCTTGACAGAAGTACATAAGCGCCCATAAGTCTGAAGACATGGCAGCCTGAGCCATAGGAGGCTGGGTGTGGCTGTGTGGCTGTGCAGGGCTGTCTCCTTTCCTCCCTCTGCAGCCCAGGCCAGGCCAGCCCACTCTTCCTTCCCAGAGGGCAGCAGGGGGTAGGGCAGACTTACCTGCAGGCCCCTCTCCAGCTCTGCTCCCCTCCCCTCTGCTGGCACCCCATTAGCAAAAGTGACACGCCAGGTTAGGAAAAGCACACCCTGCCACAGAGTCCCAAGCCGCATATCCTGAGAGGAGGTGGCTGAAGGCCACCCTGCAGCAAACCCCAGGCAAGTGCAGGGTCCCTGAGCACACCAGTTCTCACTGAAGCATCATTTGCTCTGAGTCAGAACGTGAAGAGAATCTCAGAATGTAAGTCTCAAAACATGCACAGAAGCAGAGGTACTGCCTAAAGAAGAAGAAGAAGAAGAAGAAGAAGAAGAAGAAGAAGAAGAAGAAGAAGAAGAAGAAGAAGAAGAAGAATCCTCAGACACACGTGAGACCAGAGGAAAGCTGACTAGTGGCTCTTGATTTTCTTGGGGAAGAAGAAACACATCCTCCACATCCCTGCAATTCCCACTCACCAGCCAGAGCAGGTTAGGGCCGGAAAAGGACTGTGAAGTCCTCGGCACAACCTTCTCCATTCCCAAGAAGGCTGGTCCGTGCCAGCGCCTGCCAGCAGGCAGTGCAGGGGCTGGAGCAGGCGACCTCAGTGCTTCTGTGCGCCTCAGGCCTGTGTGCTACCCGAGGCTCAGTGTTTTCCTGCTGAGGGCACCAACGCTCATGATTGCCAGAGCCAAGCACTCTGGCCCCAAGCCAGTCTGTCGCCAGCACCCCAAGCCCCAAAGGAAGCAGCGTGGTGCCAGGCTGCCCCTGTGAGGCCCGCAGTCCTCGCTCTGGCTCTATTCGAATGGAAATCTCCTCTTTCTCCATCCCAGATTGGTGGCATTTAGAATCCCCTCTATGATTCTGTGCTGTTCTAAATGAGCACTTTCCAATTTCTTTCCTTCTTCAGCGCACAGTCATATTATGAGTAATTAGGATAATTGCTTTTTCATAAACACCCTTTGACTTCATTAGACAGATTGAAAATATTGCACATCTCAAAGCACATCATGTTCATTTTGTCACTAATTCTATACTCAGACCAGGAGAGATAAAATTTGCTATTTGAGAAGGAAGAATTGAAGACATGTATTGGCCACACTTCAGTAATAATTTCACCAACCGAGTGTCCGTCATCTCAGAATTATTCACGCTGCACCAGGTAAGGCCCTGGCCGGAGGCTGCTCTTGGGTGCGCATCTCTCCCAGGGCAGGAAGAGGTCCTCCAGAGTAGACGTGTCTAGCTTGCTATCCACAGGAGTTCACAGAGTGGCCCTAGCAACAGATGTTTTCATCAGATTGTGCCCTTTGGTACCACACTTACCTCAGAAGAGGTAGGGTCAGCCTAGGAGACAAACGCGGGCTTCCAGAGTACGGCTCTTGTTCCAAAGAAGAAGCTGCTTGTGCCCCGAGACACGGCTCTCCATGCTCTGCCCTGTTGGCCTCACACGCAGCTCTGAATGCAGCTGCGGCACTTACCCCCAGCGCGAGACAGAGACCCTGCCTCCGGTCAGGAGTGAGGGCATGGGCTTTGGCACTGGGACGGTCGGGGTACGAATTAAAACACCATTTACTAGTCAGCTACAAAATGAGAAAAATAAGATCTATTTCAAAAAGTTATGGAGGGACAATTTGAGAAAAATATTCCCTCACTAAAAAATGAACAAATTCAATAAAGGCTTCCTATTATGCCCCTAAAATTACAGGAAAAGTCAGCAGAAGAGCCCCACGCAGAGCCCACTTAGTGGCCTGTAGTAGCCCACGGTCTAACAACCACCACTGGTGCCTGCACTTGTCCCGCAGGTCCATCCTCTCCCGGGCCCCAGGGCCCAGGCGGTCCAGCCCGACACAGCCCTGAGGCTGGCTGCAGGGCCAGCTCTGCAGGAGACAGCGCCAACTGCTTCAGAGCACGAACTCATGGCTGGAGTCTACAAGAAGGAGGGAGGGCGCGTGGAGGAGCAGGAGGACACCAGCACAGTCACAGCAGATATTCACGGCAAGAGTGTGGGACAGCGAGGGAAGAGGGCCGCGCAGGGCGCCCCTCCCCCACAGCCCAGGTTCTCTGGCCCCTTGGCCTCTGCTTAGGCCACGTGCTCCAGGCAGCTGGGCGCTGGAGTGGCGTCGACACCACCACCGGGACGTCCAGGCACCTCCCAAGGACCGGAAGTGTCATAGCTGCAGAGAGGCCAGCAGGGGCGCGAGCAGAGTGAGGAGTCAGTCTGTCATCCTTTGCAAACACGCTGTCCTTTAATAATGATTTGTGAAAAGGTAGCCGTGCAGCCGCAGCAAGCAGCTCTCCAGGTGAATTTGAAAAGCTGTCTGAGTTTCCCTCTCATGTCTCCAGGGCATGAAGAGGGTCTTCCTAGGGGCTCTCCCCCTCACGCCCTGCCCCTCTGTGAGAGTCCGGGCCTCACATCTTAGTGCTGGGCAACCCTGCGGCCCCACGTAGCTAGCTCATAGTGCTGCATCCTGCCCCTGCTCTCCGTTCCTGCTTAGGTACTGGGACTGCACAGGAAGAGGGTGAAGCTGTAGAAAAAATAAGCCAGCACAAAACTGCCACACACTTTAGATCCCCTACCAGCCTCCAGTCACTGCTCCTCACAGGCGGGGGCAGAGTTCTCAGCAACATGGAGCCATCTAAGGATGTAGAGAGGGACGGTGCAAGTAGCCTCCTCGCGTGGCCAGGTCCGTGGTTCAGATGCTCTGAGTCTCCGCGGGGCCTGGCTTGGCTTCGGTCAGTGCTCCTGGGCTGGGCTCTGTTTCTCTTCCCCTTCTTTCCACTTCCGACTCCGCTCCCCTGCTGCCCCACTGCCTATGCAGGCAGCTTTGCAGAGGAAAGGGCTGGATTCCGAGTGCAGGGAAAATTCTCTGACTTGCTGGGAGAGCTGGGTCACCGTGGACGAAGACCTGGGTTCCCCGGTCCTCCCAGCTCTGGCCAAGGGCAGCAAGCCCCTCTGTCATGCCCGCATGAAGCAACAATCTTGATTTCTCAATTCGGAAGCAGCGAGCGCGAGCGTCGGAATCCCTCTGCATCCGCACGTGGGCGTGGGGGCCTCTGCGCCCTCTGGTGGATGCATCTTTTCAGAGCATGTTTAAGACACTGTCCAGACCTGCTCTACACAAACCACTCAGCTCGGGGAAAACCGAGTTTCTTCCAAGGAGACTCAGGCTCGTTGCTTCCAGCTGGACAACTGTCCTCACAGTACTCGGGACTGGGTTAGAGCACAGTGTGCCGGTGCTTCTCAAACAGGTGGTCCTCAGCTCCTGGTCACAGGTGCTCCTGACTCTTTGCAAAGGAGTTTTGCAACCAGCTCTTTCCTAAAGGAAGCAAATTTTAGCTGGGACCTCAGTGAACTCTTTGTCTCTGAGCGCTGGAGCAGCCTCAGCAACACGCGGGGCCTGTGGTGAGAGGGCCTCGGACAGTCCAGCCGGTGCGCTGCCGATGCTCGCCTGGGAGGGATCGTCCCCTTCTGCCTCACACCTGGTATGGTGAGATGCTTCCTCGGGATTTCTAGCCCTTCCACACCCCAGGAATTCCCCAGGGGATGGGCATCACTGATGTGGCCTTCACGGCATGGATCTCGGCCTTCACACCACAAACCCAAGAAGCTCCCTGCTTATCACGCGCTCTGGGAGGCTGAGGCGGGAGGATTGCAACTTCAGGCCTAACTTGGGCAACTTAGTACTTAAAAAGTCCCTATCTCAAAAGGAAAAATAGGAACAGGCTGGGGGTAGGATAGGATAGGTCAGGATGAAGGCCCTGGGTTCAACACCCAGTATCAAAAAATAAAATAAAACTCACAAAACAAACACCATTTAATGCTTGGTAGTTAGCAAGCATTTCTCTATGGAGAAAGGGGGGGGGAGGTGTGTGTGAAGACACCACTTACTACGCACCTCCCGCCCCGCTCCACAGCCAATGGACCACTGCCGGCCTGCCTGTTAGGGGCTGCCTTCTTCACCCAAGCCCTAGCGACCCTGGACAGGACAGCACATGAATTTCCAGTCTTAAGCAGAATTAAGAAATAATGCAAGGAGGAGAAGGGTACAAGAAGTTCAGCGCAAGCTGTCTGCTGGTGCCCAGCAGACGGCAGTGTCAGGCCTCACACCTGCTCTGTGTGCAGACTCTGGACAGTTTCCCCGATCCCGGCAGCCTGGAGGCCGTAGCTAGGAGCCCCTGCTAGCAGCAGCCTGGCCCCTCCCACCGGCCGGCAGCAGCCCCCGCCGAGGCCCGTGGAAGCATCTCCAGCCACCACCAGGCTGCGGATCAGTCTGCCTGTCGGCCCCCTCCCGGGGAGCCGCTGCTGCCCCAGAGCAAGGTGAATCCAGGGCCAGTGTGAGGAAGTGTCCCGAAGAGTCCTTCCAGGGGAAACTGCCTGGGGCTGCGGCAGGGCAGGAAGAAGTCCTCTGCCACCAGTCACTCAGGCAGAGTGGCCTTCTGTGGAGGCGCCAACGCACCATGCGAGTGTTCAAACCAGGTGGCATTTAAGGGCGCTGCTTCATTTTATATCTACACAAAATGTCTCAT